CTTGCAAATTCTGCCGCGTATCAAAGGCGAGATATGAATATTTCAACTTGAAACATTTATCCTTTGAACGATGGGGAGAGGGGGGGATTTTTTCCAACTTCTATGCTAAAACATCACCGTGTTTATTGTCATTGAAATTGTGTTGCGACTCTGCTTTCTCGCTTAAATTAACTCGCAACTAATTTCTGACGTCGGCCGTACGCATCCGGCGCTGTATTACGTTTAATATTGTTGGCGTTGTTGCGGTCAGTACGTGGGAAATTTTGCAGATCGCACTCGAGACGACACCACGAGTGGAGGCAAAGGCACTTACGAACACGGTCGTCCGTTCATTCTTGATTCCATTTCCAACTGTACACAATGCCCGGGATCACGATGAACAAAGACGGGAATGTTTACCGAGATGTGACGATCGCACTCACCCATAATATTTTTCTTCGCCGCGCGCGAAGAACCATTATCGGCGGTGAGAACTTTTCGGGGGAAGGAGGGGGCGCGAGGACGCGGAGGAAAGGAGCGGGCGTGAAAACGTCGCCGATAGGAAAAAGGACAGAATCGAAAATGTACCTCGAACACAATCTTCCGGACGACCGTGGAGACGTGAAAATATGAGTATGTCCAAAAAATTATTTATACGCGTATCAAAATTTACGAGCCGCTAATGTACCGATCCACGATGGGGCATCCCCCGTCCCACCTCCTCCCCGCCCTCTCGCCTCCTCGTTCGCACGAGCTTCGAAAAGTTTCGCGAAGCGAAGCGAAGAGATAGGGGTGATAGACTGAAGGATGGACCCGAGAGGGATGGGGATTCTGTGCGCGGAACGCGAGTAAATGTAATGACGATGTTTAAAGAGAAGTTTCGACGTTTAGCTCGATACAACAATACGTCCCATTGTTGCTCTCGGCTACGTACAACAGTCGAAACTCCGCCAGTGCAAGTGCCGGTGCCGGTGCCGGCGCTGAGAAGAGAGAGAGAGAGAGAGAGAGAGAGAGAGAGAGAGAGAGAGAGAGAGG